ATTACCAGTTTGAAAGAAGCCAACATATACATTCAGGTATTAAACTATTGAACCTTCCGTTAAAAATAAAAATTTTAATTCCAAGTCCGATCCACAGTAATTTTATCAACCAGAATAAAGGGAATGCTTAACAGAATTCTAAAAGCAGAAAGAGGCTACTGAGAGTGACGAGTTTTTTGTTTCGACCCTCTCCCCACCTCCTCAATGTCCATAGGACACAAACATATTAACTTCACCTAATGATGAACAGGCTCCTGTCTGCAAATACAACCTTGTAGCTTCCTCTGGAGAAGGAAGCTCTTTATCAGTGTCTGGACTAGCAGGAGCATAAATCAACTACACACAGAGAGACATCCTGCAGCTGCTAGTCCAGTTTTGCCTCGGAATTCACCCAGCTTTGTAAGGACTAGATGCATTCTCAGCATGAGCAAACAAAAATCTGTCTCATAGTTCAGGCGGCAGTAAAACAGAGAATGCAAATTTGGCCCACTTCAAAGCACAAGGCATATCTTTCACTGACTAAATAGCAATCCCAGCAGGAGTGACAATGAAAGCTTTCTTCTCTAACAATCACAGGTTATTTGTTCATATTAATTAGTTTATACCTAGTATTAGGCAGCCTAACTAGAAAATACTCTTTGTTACCAAATGAATAGAGAAACAAACAAAACCAAAGGCTTTTTTAAAATTGTTGTTTCTCCTGTGGAAAATGATTTTTCAGGCCTTGCACATTTTCAAGTAGTTTATCTTTACAAAGGTCCCTGAATTCAGTTCAAGAGAATGCAAATCAAGTCCAGGCACTCAATAATACCAGGCTAAAATGATTGAGTGAACAGTTCATTGCCAAAGGAGATGCTACATTTAAATACTTTTAACCTTCTCTGAACTTGGAGAAAAGTGCTAATAAGAGAAAAGAGACTTGGCAACAAGGCCAAGCCAGTCTTGAAGTAAAATTTGACTGTACAAATTACATGAGAAGAGTTAACATATAATTAGCAGACACATCATCAACCAGAAGATCCTGAAACCAAATGATGCAATGGTCTTTGTTATGATGTATACTAGATGTCCCCCCAAAGCCTCATGCACTCATAGTCATGGATTTGGGGAAGTGACTGGGTCATGGGCGTGTGATACTTATCACTGGATTAGCCCACACTGATGAGTTTATAGCTGGATGTGATGTTGGGAGGTGAAGCCCGGTAGGAAGAGGTGGGCCACTGAGGGTGTGGCCTGGAGGTTATATATTCCCCGCCCCCCCTCCCCAATCCCTCTCTGCTTCCAGTCTGCCATGTCATGAGCTGTTTCTCCTGTGCCATGCCCTTCTGCCATGCTGCCTGCATTAGAACCAGCCAACTATGGACTCTAAAAACTGTGAGCCAAAATAACCCTCTCCTCCTTTGACTTGTGGCTGTCCGGTATGGTGTCTCAGCGATGACAAAGTAACTAAGACAGTCTTTATCTTTCCTGAAGAGTAGGCCACCTCCCCTTATGACTTAATATCCCAGCTTATACCTGACTTCTTCCAAAAGGGCTTATTTCTCCAATTACTAGAGGTTACCCCTACTCCCAACATATGGTGAGAATGAGACTCAACCACCCAGTCCATATGTTAATAAAGGATTCAACAGAATCCTTTAAAGCCTGGTATCTATTAAAGGGTTGATACTAAACAAAGCACTTGCACCCAGAGCTACAACTCCAAAACCTAGAAAACCACTAAACTGCACAGGCATTTTTAAGATATACATGAAATTCCTTAAGATGGCTTACGAGGCCTTGTAAAACCTTGCAAAACTTCATAACCTAGCTCCTCTATGCTGATACTTAGCATTTGCATTTCTGTAGTACAAATATTCCACCATGATTGATCTCAAGCTACCAGCATGAAGTCAACTACACACAAAATGCTTGAAAATTTAATAATCCGCCTTTATGAACTGCTGAAGGTGCCTCTAAGGACACGGCTCTTTACAACCACATGTCCCACTATACTGTAACCATCCTGAACTAAATTCTAATTGCTATGCTCTTTTCCATGGGACATTAGAACCTCACACATGCCCTTTCTTCTCCCTTGCCAAAAAAGCTCTACTCTTTCATTAGCCACTAGTCTGGTGGTCTTCCTTCAAAAAAGCTTCCCCGATCCTCCCAGTCTTTTTGGGGGATTCTAATTTACTCCTAGAACAGTTATACTTCCTGTGTCATAGTTTTGTGATAAAGCACTATAATTTTTCGTGTCCTTATCTGTATATCTTCCATTACATTTCTAAACTCAGGGGGGACAAAAGCCTTCCTTATCTTATTTATCATAACACTTCCTGATATAAATGGGCAATATATGCAGACATTATTCTAAGTTTTGCACATATTTTCTCATGTCATCTTTAAAACAACCTATGAGGGCTGGAGATTTAGCTCAGTGGTACCATGCCTGACTCGAAAGCGCAAGGTCCTGAGTTCGATCCCCCCAGTACCCACCCCCCAAAAAAGATGGGATTAAAACCACCTATGAGACTGGCTTCATTACTGCCTTGCTCATGTCTCAGGTGATGGAATTAAGGCACTGAGAGCATGATCACTTTTCTCTCAGGCTCAGCCAGTAAATGCTGGAGCCAGGATTTCACTCTAGCAGTGTGACGAGTGGGCCATGTGCATGCTTCAAGAAACAACTGTTTGTTGACCTTTTTTTTCCAATAGTGTCCCTCAAGGAGAAAATTTTAATTAAATTAAAATTCTCTGTAAAGGAGAAATTAAATACTAAGGAATAGCATTTTGTTCGGTAAGCCTAAGCTTTAGCAGGGGGGCCATTCCCCAAGATCCAGTTCTGGCCCTCTTGGGGGCAATGTCATTCTACTGAAAATGTATGTGCTGAACCTTCCACTATTCATTTCCATTTGTTTATCCCTAAAGACACACAGTCATGGTTTATAGTTTTAATGATATCTTCCTATAAGAATTATTCTGCATCTTACTTTTCTTTCCTCCACAAGGTATCTTAACATAATATAGCTGTGTTGATATCTTCATTTTTAGCTGTTATATGATATTACAATATCATATAAATTCACATGCCTGAATTTATTACTATGACCTTGCACTATTAGATATTCAGCAAGGTTTGTTCTTCTTGGTTTTTAAGCAATGCTTTAGTGAATATTTTTACATGCTCTTCCTTGGCCTCATGTGGGTGCTTTTCTAATATAGATACCAAGATTGGAACAGACTATGTGCTAAGGTATATAGTTTTAATATATACTGTGAAATTATCACCTTACCCCCAAGTGGCTGTACCACAGAAAATGTATAAGACTACACATTTCCCCAAGTATTTACATTAAACACGACTTGGATGGTATTTTAACTAAATGAGTCATTTGAAAGTGTTATATTACTCACCAGTTTATTGTAGTTTATATAAGGGGGAAAGTGCACAAAACTTGATGCTTCTGGAAATGCTGACAAAAGACAGTGTCACTGGATACTGAAATTCCTTGTCCAGAAAACCTATACTGGGATCTAACTCACTTCACACAAGCCTAAGAAGTACCTGGGAACAGTTGCACTGGACTTTCAAATGGTGACCTCAAGTAACAGGCACTGAGTCTCTTTACCTGTTCCCCAAGTCTTTTAGGACCCCCCCCCCCAAAAAAAAACAACCTAGGGGCCGGGGATTTAGCTCAGTGGTTTCGCCGCCTGCTGTGCAAGCACAAGGACCCCAGTTAGATGCCCGGCACCAAAAAAAAAAAAAAAAAAAAAAACCTGTTGAAGGTAAAGGAAACCAAACACCCAAAGTAAATGAAAGGCAATGATCCTTTTACCAGAAAGAGAAATACACATGATAGGGTGATGGGGATAACACTGAGAAATAATACTGAAAATAACACTGGAAAATAATACTAAAAACATGAAAGCATTGCAAGGACTTTACACAAAGGATAAAATACGCAGGTCTTTTGGGGGGGAGATTTATAGTAAGTGAAGTATAAATGCCCCTTTATCCTTCCTCCCTCTCTTTTTTCACTCTTTCATTAAAAAGACACTTTTGATTGAAATATATAAAAAATGTAATAGCCTAAAGAAATGATATAGGAAAAAAAAACACTGAACAACATTCTACATCATCAAAATTTGAATTTCAATCAGTGCGCCTTTCTCTTTTCCTTAACTTTAGCTTAAAAAGATTGCCACAAATGAGATGCCATGCTGTAAAAAGAAAAGGAAAGGTAAAGGACGAGCGCATGGGAAACTATACTTTCTGAATCATTTAATCCATACAACCGTCATGTGAAGCACAATTACACGAAAAGAAATTGAACCTGAGACCAGCTAGCATGAGAAAGACTTTTTATTAAGCATTCCAAGGTGCAGGGCGAATGATTCCAAAGCCTGTTTCCCCCATTGCATCACATTGCCTGCTGAGCCTGAAAGAGAGCCTGAATACCCAGCAGGATGTACAATAATCTGAACAAATGCAATGTGCCTGCAGTATTACTGTTCTTAAGTGGACAGAAAACATTCTTTGTAGGAATTCAGAAGTTTCTAGAATGGCATTTTGTTTTCTAAGTTGTTAGAAAAGATCAAGGCAAAATAATTATAAGAGGAGGACAACGTGGCAGGATTGGAAACCTTGTTATAAGATTAGATCCTTTCTGAGACATTTAATTAAACATCCTCATCCCCAAAAAATATCTAAGCAAGGGAAAGCAGCAGAATTTGCTACTGAAGTGTCTTGATTTGGAGTTTGCTGTATCCTAAGTGCTCAAACTGAGGTCCCTGGGGAACAGAGGCCAGTTCACTAAAATCACTTGTTCATTTTTCCAGCTGCTTCCTAAACTAAATGGTATCTCGCTCAGAAAAGCACCATTATCTCTATACACACCAAATGCTAATCTGAGAGATGTACATGATCCCTAGAGTAAAACATACTTTCTACAATTCAGTTTAAATAGTTGACAAAACTATGATTCCCCCAAACCTGCACTAGTTGAATCATTTACCTGGGGCTGGGAAATGGCGGGGATTGCAGTAGAGGCAGCAGCCATAACAGCTCTATAATGATGAGCAGTGATCAGGCCCCAGCACCAAAGTGCCAGACACAGTCACAGGAGCCAGTTCTCACAACCACTGATCAGATTACAGTCATTCTAGAAGAAGCTGTGTACCTGGAAAAAGAAAGGAATACCCATAGTTAGTACAAGAGGACCAGCATATAAGAATGAAGGACCATCAGCCAGAAGAAGCAAAAATCTCTTATACCAACTGCAAAATATTAGCTTATTAAAAATAGGAATTCATAGGGAAGATCTTATATCTAAAAGTTATGACTTCTGTATCATTTGCCCAAAGGATGGTAAGTAAGTATATTTTCATAAGTTTAAATTCTACTCTGGGTGCCAGCTAAATATTCTGGATAGGCAGTTTCAAGTGGGGTAAAAAGGGAAGGTGAACAGGAGGAGAAGCCATCTTGTCATTAAATAATAAGAAAAGAAAAGAAAATGAATGATCTGTATTTGACAAAGTTTGAGGCAGATTTTGTTAACTCATTTCATGAGACACCTGAGAGTTTGAAAGATTAGACAACATCTCCACAGCCAGGAAGAGAGAGAACTGAGACCTGAACCAGGACTGATTCCAAGGGTCTGTCTCCTTCTCTCCAAGAGAAGAGACATAAAAAGAGCATGAGATGTTTTTAAGCAAAAATTTCAGGTAGTCCTAATGACAGCAAGATGCAAGTCAGATGGCCTGCAGTGATCTTGTGACAGAGAAGCCTGAGCTGCCCTCATCAGTATAAAGCTTTAATAATGTGCTTCTTGCTTTGATACATGTTTCATATCCTTGAGATGCCTAATAAAGACAGATTTTCGATTTCATATTTTTGGGAAGAAAGATGAGACAGAAAACTGCTTTACCCTAAAGCATTTGAGATGTATTTAGTTTTGAGGCTTTTGTTGAACGTCTTTATATATTGCAAGAATCCCTCTTGCCCATCAACTGGAGACTGGATAAAGAAAATGTGGGGTTTTTTTATAAAATGGAGAACCACTCAGCCATAAAAAATGAGAAATTAGAGACATTTTTAGCTAAGTGGATGCACATTGAGGTGATACTCTGAAGTGAAATAAATAGGACACACATGTGTAAATACCGAATAATTTCTCTGGTATGAGAAACTGAAAGTGTAAATAAGGACTAAAATGTATAATAGGTAATGTGAAATAGGAAGAAAAG